GGAATTAAAATACACATGCAATGATAGAATGCCAAAATGTTCCTCAATCAGCCCTAACTCTAGGCACTATAAATAATGTGGAGGTTAATTTAAACATTTTAAATTTAACATTTCTATTGAGTATGATTTATTCAGCTATTTTAGGCAGTAACATATCCACAGCAGTTTCCTAGACTACGCTACATAATTGTTGCTTTTTATAGCAAGTCGACAGAAAGGACTAACACCACTTGAGTACAGTTGCTCTGTTTTAAGTACTTAAAACCTATATCTCCAGGCACTTCAAGGGTTAAGTGCTCATTTATGGCTAGGGTATAAATATAGTCAAACACTTTTACTTACCTAATCCCCGCTTCACCGGTTTTCAGGGGTCACCTCTCTCCCCTCCGCATCCTTATGTCTAAAGAGGGTTTATGGAACTTGCATTAGATGTGATGATGTCAGCAGGTTCTTAGACCGCTGGAGTGAAGGTAAGAAAAAAATGCGGGGACAGGTCTGGCATGGAGATGGCAGGATTTGTAAGTAAAACAGATTTCTTTCTGTCCCCTAGGCATAGCAGTTAACCCTTGCAGTGTGGGGGTAGCCTCACTACAAGGGTGTTTTTTGGTTTATCCAGGGATAGGCTATTTGATTGTTATGCCAGGATCCATGTTAATTCTGCTTTCTGTCAAACACTTGCATCTTTACTATCTCTGGTTTTCCTCTATACATAACCACAAATATAGGAACCTGGAAGTGAAAAAGAGTGCCCCTTGCTTCTCCTATGCCAAGAACTAATGACACATTCATGATTCCCCAACTTGGAAGATGACCACACATACAGTATACCAACCTGGCAATGATATAAAAAATACAGGTTGTGAGAGGAATAGAAGTCCATGTTAAACGGTCCTTCCTTCTCTCATACCAATGACCAATTTCACCTTCCAGAATTCCCAACTTGTAAGGCTAGCCTTTTCCACCTGCTGACCCCAACCTATGCCCACTCACACACTAGAGCTTGTTTGGAAGACCACACTATCATGTAAGCAAGGATACCATATTGTGGAAAGCAAAGCCCTCTACTAAACTCTTGCTTCATTCTCAGATGTGGGAGCCTGCTTCCTAGCCTGCCTGATGGATTGCAGAAAAGGGTTACTGAGGGGTCTGTAATATGAAAGGCCAAGGCTTTTGAAAGTTAAGTTGAACGTTGAGGAGAAAAAGAGATTGATCCATTTTAAGGAGCACTGTTGTGTTGGTATGTGAAATTCCTCTTACCCACGTAATGTGTGTTGTCCTCTTGGTCCTGGAATTTGCTCCCTCAACTGATCTTTGATATACCCCTCACCATCATTTTTGTTACCTGACAGCCAATTGCTCTTTATGAAAACTTTTTTTTTACATTTCCCCACATATTGTTTTCTCATATACTGCTTCCACTGACCTACAATAAGTGTCCTGTATGCTATTGTTACCAGCTACAGGACACTTTTATACATACTGCTTTTTGCAAACAACTTAAAGTGACCATATGAGAGGGTTAGAAAAGATCTAAAAATAGTACCCCATAAGGAAAATAGATATTCACCTGTCTGTGAGTGAGTTTGAAGAACCTTGCTCTGTAGCAGAGCTTCTGGAAATACTCCTATGTGATTCCTCAGACTGATTGCATAGCAGGTCCACCCACTGGTTGCTCTGGTGCTTGCTGCTGAACCCCAGTCAGTGCAGAACAAATAGGGGTTGTTGGGAGGAACCACAGCAGCAAGCGGAGACAAGCTATTTGTCAGGGCTTCTTACCCTTCCTCATCCTGTTGGCTGTGAATGGCTTGTCAAAATGTTTGACACTATGATTCCCCTTTGGCCCCCTCTTATGACCAAAACTGTTTACATCATCTTCCTGCAACTTTTGGCAATACTCCTGGCAAATTCCTGTCTCAGAGTTATGATGCAGGCACCAGGTTCCTTTGTAACCTTCACCTTGTCCATTCAGTCTTTGCCCTTGCGTTTGTTCTGATCAACCAAGTGTGCTGCTGCTGTTTCTGATTTTCGTGTATTATCCTGGCTCTGGCTGACTGATCTCCTGGTTCCTGACTCCGGCTTTGTTTCTATTCATCCTGCTCTCTGTGCTCCCTGACCTGGCATGGCTGACTGCCCGTTTTGGCTTCTTGCTTGGCATTGACTACGTCCTGGACTATCTCCATTGTTTTTTGCCATTTATGGTTATTGTTATTTTCAATAAACTCCTTTTATATTTTAATCCTGCACTTTAAGTTTCAGTCTGGTTTCCTGGTTTCCTAATACTATTTTACACACCCAGAAGTAGAGATAGGGTCAGTGTCAGGAGCTCTACTATGGAGCAATATTTTTCCAAACCAGCTGATGCACAGATAAGTATAAAGTTGTTTTCTTCACAGGGTACCGCTTTTGGTCTTGACGGGTTTTTTTTTGACTGGGTCACTTAAAGGTTAGATGCAGGTCAGACAGAGGTTAGAAGCACTTGTGAAGGAACTTTAAAAGGATCTCAGAAGTGTTTCAAAGTGATTCAAACACAAGCTGAAAGCACCTGTACCTTTCCCTGCATCTGCCCATCCTCACTAGCCCTTAGTCTAATCGTTATATGAGCTTGTGTAGACAAACTTCAGACTCAAAAGCAGTTGTATGTTTTTAGGTACATTTTAGTTGCCTTGATTTCCCTTTCAGTTGCCCATGAAGTTGCTCCAAACTGCATTTGGAGTTGGGTTGCGACAACTTATTTGTTAAAGAAAATCACTCAGATGCAGACATAATGGCATGTACATGTTAATCAACATCACAATAGCTCAGTGGTTGGAAAATACTAGCAAAGTAGATGAATCACAAAATCGCAGTTCTCGATGAAACAGTTGAAGAGTTGGGGGAAAAAGGAGGTGACCTGGCAGTGTTAACTAAATTGAGGAATGCATAGCAGTGATGGAGCTTTGAATTAGCCTAGGAATGTCCTTTAGGTCATACTGTGTGTATGGAAATGGAAGTAGTTGATAGACATACGTTGGTAGAATAGATGGAAATGCATGTAACCTTGACCAGACAGGGAATGCATAAGTGGCTTTACATAGCAGCATGACACCAGCCCACATTTCCAGAAGCATGCTATTACGGGAACATAAGCAGAGTTAGCAACCATGAGCCTGCAGCTGTGTACTCGTACAGGATAATCACAACTATGACTGTTCTGCTGAAGCATGGCAGTTAAAGCTGCTCTTTGACTGTGCGGAACTACAAAACAGCAACATAGGTTCTGAATAAAACAACTGCTCATTGCCAAGTCACTGAACACAAAGTAGCACTAAATCTGCAGATATCACTTATTACTGACCTTGTAGAGAGCAGCCCTATCCTATCCTTCACATACTATTTTGAACTTCTTGTTATGACAGTGATTGTTTAGGACTAAAGTATTTTATACTACCGTAGTAGTAGTGTTACTACTAGTATTGTTACTAGTAGTGTAAGTGCTGCACAAACTGTTGCCGCTATATAAATCCTGTATTATAATAATAATAAAAAAGTGGTGTATACCTAAACCCAGGAGCAAAAATTTAATATTTTGCAGATTTCCAGTCCCTTAGATGTGGTGGCTGCTTCAGTTTTTTTTTTCGGTTTTTATTTTTTAAACAAGTACAGAAATATTCCTGTTATTCCGGCCAGAAATCTTGTGTCCTTGTAAATTTCTGTGTACTATACTGACATCTTAAACAATGTTATCATGTTTATCAACTCTACTTTGTGAAATACAACCCCCCCACCCCCCTCAGTCGTGCCCGCCCAGCGGGACAGGCTGGGGGAGTGATGGCTTTCTTAAGTGGGCTTGTCCTCAGGGAATACAGTTCCTAGGAATGCACTGTAAGGTGTGATATTTAGAAGCAGGAATAGTATTAAAGGATGTCTAAACCTAAGAATAAAAACAACATATATTGCAGCTTATAAGGCTTAGTAGTAGTACAGAAAATTTCAAGTACAGAATCATTATTATACAAGATTTATATAGTGCCAACAGATTGTGCAGCGCTTTAGATCATTCCTGTTTGTCCTGCTAGGAAATGTATGTCCATGAAACACCCTGTGCACTGAACTGAGATCCCAAACAATGTTATCAGCTTTCCCAGCTACCTTCTGTGAACTACAAAACAACCCCTTTCTATGTAATGGAGATGAGGACAGGTGGAGGTGTTTGTGTGTCCAAATTAGGAGAGCAGTCTAGGGTGACAATGCTGCTCCTTCATAGGTGCAGTACATCAAGTGAACGTTGTCACACTAGGACAGTAAGTGTGTTATTGCCACGGTTAGCACATACGTAAATATAAAGGAAAAAATGACTGAAAAAATGAATCTAATGCAGAGCACCGGCAACCCCCCCTGGAAAGGAGCAGCCACCGCCAGCAAGCCTTCTCTTCCTTCCAGAAATGAGCATCCACTTCCAGCATGATCACCCCCCCCCCCCCCTTGAAACGAGCATCCACTACAAGCAACCCCCCACCCTGGTAACGAGTATCCACCGCCATTCAATGCCTCCCCTCCAAGAGGTGGCGAATAGTGTAGGGACACCCCTGCCTGTCCATATTGCTTCTTCCCGGTTTATCATGCTAAAAACAATAGCATTAGATACTTTCATATTAGACTGTGATGTCATAAATAGGAATGCGAGAAAAATTGACCATAACAGAAGCAAAAATTAAGAATTGCTGGATGTAGGTAACAATCTCCTCCTTTACTTATTAGCCAAATATTTTTACTCAAATAAAAATATTTTCATGTACTCTGGGTGCATATCCAAATAAATAAGTTGTTTATACATTATACAATAAGTATATAAATTGCAAAATTATTGTGTTTGAAAATCACATGGATGTCCCTTGTGTGTGCTTTATATTCACTGCTATGTTGCCTGTTTTTTTAGTGAGCTGTGCTATTAAGTTATGATGGGTCTTCGTGATTTTCTATTTTACTATTAACACAATTTTTAATCCTTTGTATTTTCACAGCAATCATGTACGTTATGGGTGCCCTAGGTCCAGCTGCAGGATATTTGTTAGGAGGCGTTCTTATCGGATTTTATGTTGATCCCAGAACCATTGTTAACATTGAACAGAGTGACCCCCGCTTCATTGGTAACTGGTAAGATCACATGTCTTAAAATAGAGAAAAGTTCTACAAAGTTTCGATGCATAAACAATCTCCGCTAGGATTGGTGTAGATGAGCAGCGTTCCAGTGCAATGCAAACCATTGATTTTAGGCACACCTCATCCTGATTTTTTTTTTTTTTTTGTGGACCACAATTGAGCAGTTTGTTGGGTATGGACCTTCAGAGCATATATTATTTTTGGTAAAATTGATCATCCTTTGCAGCAAATATTTGGTGGATAGTTCTGTTTTCTCCATTGTCAGCATATGTATGACCCAGTTTTTAATGCCCATGTGATAAGAATCTGGATTTCTGGTGATGCTTGGGAAATAAAATGATCCTCTTACAGTCTGTTCCTTAGAACAACAGCAGGCTAATATCTGGAATGTGAAAGAAAACAGAGGATTGATGGCACTACTATTGTCTGTTCTTTAAGACATACAGAGAGGTCTGGATGAGCCAGAATGAGTTATTAATGACATCACCAATGTCTGTGCAATACAACTTGCACAGGGGTCTGGACAAGCTTAAATGAGTTATTCATAGTTGCCTGTCATACATAACAGCATACCTTATGAACAATATATTAGGTTAAAGGCTACTTTTTATGAAAGGGAGTTTCCTCATTCATTAGTAAAACTGAAAACCGTTTTTCCTTTTAACCTTTTGTAATTAGCGGGTTCCTAAGCCAGGAGATCTATCACTGTCAAATAAGCTGAGGGACCACAAGTCATCTCTCAGTCTGCAAGGAGCAGGGAACAGTTTTTTGACTGGCGGGGAAATGCCAGTGAGCCTCAACAGGATGCAAATTAGGATTTGTGCACTTCATGTGTAAAAGTGGAGAGATGCAATTAACTGGCAGGTCAAAATAGAATTCACTCTGATGTAGGTATGTGTATTATGTGCATATAGCCATATTACTCTCCTTTTTAATACAATATATGTATGCTTTTTGTTCTGCTAAGGATGAAGAACATAACCCAGGTCACTAAAATCTTTTATCATCCCTGTGCATGCCAATATTTTATATTCTGTGTTCAAGATCTTAATGGGCAACTGGACCTTTCTAAATACTATAACTTTTTTTTGACATAAACTAAGATTTTGTTACGGTCTTCCTAACTGAAGTCTGTTGTTAAAGTTAGTCAAAATGGGGGCTGCTTACATCATCATTAAGTGACCTTTCAGGCTCCGGTGAAGGAAAGAGTACACAGAAAGTGCTATCACTGGGACTTCACTCTATCTAAAACGAAAAAAACGTTTTTAAGATATACTTGAATTCCTTCAGAATGTAGGGCTTTCCTAAATTAGCTTGTCTAAATACACCCCCCCCCCCCCTTCCCCTCCTGCTTTCCCTTTCAAAGTGAACAGCCTATTTGCTTTTAGTAAATCAACCCCAATGAATGCATTAAGAAATAAACTCAATCTGATGAACCACATCAAAGATTTATATTTTTTAGATATTAAGTTATGTGTACCAAGTTAGCATCATGTGCTGCTTCTCAAAACTTTGCATTGGCACATGATATCTCTGACCTCCTTTGCAGGTGGAGTGGATTCTTGCTGTGTGCAATGGCAATGCTACTTGTTATCTTCCCAATGTTTACTTTCCCCAAAAAACTTCCACCTCGCCAGAAGAAAAAGAAGAAAAAGAAAAGTAATTCATACGACGTGTCCAGTGATGACGATGTGATGAAAGAAAAATCCAGCAACAAAGTAAAAACAGACACTGGTGTTGGCCCATCCATTGGTTTTGGCCAGAATTTTGGAGGTAAAGACCAGGTCATGTCTGCAGCTCTGCAGACAGGCTGCTGTGGTAGATTGTGCTCTTACTGGCTACTGCCCAACACACACATCCATTCCCATAAAGCCCCAAACAAATACATAAATAGTATAATTACAGCAAGGGTCAAATATTAATATATTAGGCTTTTGTTGCTTTTAAAGTGGGTAGTGGAACACAGACACCAATAAAAAAACACTGACAGGGTTTTCCCATTCTGTCCAAAAATGGAAAAACACTTGAAATTCCACTTTAGGTATTGCACAGATACTGTAAAGGAGGAGAATGAGGGCGATAGCTATTGTAATTAGTTCTTCCTGTGAGGAAGATCTTAACGATGTTTGGCAGTATCACATGTAAGACCTAGTCTTGTGTGCTGTTGGTTACAATGAAAACCCAACATGGATAAATTGTGGGAGAATTAGGTGGGACAGGCACAGCTAACTTTTAGGAATTTACATTCCAAATCTTGGATAATTTTGTCCCCCCTTTACCCGTTACCACAAGGTTTTTTATGCGCACACGATTGCTTCCAAGTGTGGGGAACTGGCAATCCAGCACTGCAGATGTGCCCGGGATCGCTGATCCCCTACTACCCTCGCGCGTAACTTCACTCCTGTTCTGTATCCTGAGATGACCCTGCTGCTAAACAGCCAGAAGGAAGTGTCCTCATCATGCAGGCAATGACGTGGACATCCAAAGAAACCCGTAGGAAGTAAACAAAGGGAGAGAGAAGACTTGGGACCTGAGCATTATTGTTACCATGTTTTTTCCATCTAGCAATCAGTTAGTGGGTGAGGGAAGAGAGGGTGAAAATTATCTTGGAGATGGGCTTTAAGTGATTCCAAACCTTTCTACAACATAACTTCTGTACAGTGGGATATGGAAAATGGGTTTAGCTTATTCAAGAGGTTGGGCTTAGATTACACAGGTCAGTGGTTCTTAATGGCTCTGGGTGTAGCAGTTTTATATCACTTTTCCAAAATACAATAACAATTTCAAATGAAAAAGGGCAGTGACCACCTTTCCTACCTACCTTCTTTCCTACATATTGTTTTGTCAGCACTACAGGTCCACTTTAAAGGTATTTACACATGTTGCTCTATACAGGAAATTTAATCATTACATCTGGTGTAATTATTGTATTGTACACCACAGTTTTCACTTATCTACCAATACTTATTGGTACAATATCCTGTATGAATATATATTTAAATCTTGGTTTACTTGTCTTGTTTTTTAGCCTATTAGAAAAATCAAAGAGCACAAACAACAGAAAAACACTTCACTAGCAGAAACTTCATTGCTCGCCTTTCATTTCAAGGATCCTACATGTATTGTTTATTTCTCCCTTCATTGTTTATAAAATTCATCTCTTGTCATTTTTAGACCTTCCAAGAGCAGCAGTAAGAATTTTAAGCAACATGACATTCCTTTTTGTGAGTTTGTCATACACAGCTGAGAGTGCCATTGTCACCGCTTTTATTACCTTCATTCCCAAGTTCATCGAGTCACAGTTTGGCATCCCAGCTTCCAGTGCCAGCATCTACACTGGTAAGATTATCATGCTAGCTGCACATTTGGATTACTGCAGAGAAAAAAAGGTATAATGCCACCAAGTAGACCTCTTCTCTGCATCTTTGGTTGATGGGGGGAGGTGCAGGTGATCTAATCATTTTGTTTTCTTGTGAGTCTCTACCACCAATCTGAAGTTTTTATTATTCCTGGCCCAGCCTACTCCATGATCCTATTTCTGTATTATCAGAACCAAAAAGACATAGAAGACATTGTGATATGAGACCAAGGCCACCCTCTGGTTTCACAGTGATTTATCAAGAAGCCAGTAACATAAATATTGGGAAAATTACACGTCTATTAGATTGCTTTGGAAAGCATGATAGTTATTGAATAGTACTTGTTACTTTTTCCACCAGGGCTACCGGTAAGATGGCAGCTGGAGTGCTGAAAACGTTTTCAACTATTCTATTATGAGCCCAATTCCTTATATAGCACCAGCATGTGATAGAGTGTAAAGGGCCACTAACATCACTCTCTTGTACTCAAAGGCACTCACAGATCTAATTTTCCTACCACACTCGAACACAGTTGGACAAGTCTGGGGAAAAGCCAGTTAACCTACCAGTAAGCTTTTGATTATGTCAGGATGCCCATACAAACCCCATGTAGGCAGTGTCCCTGGTGGGATTTAAAGCTTATTTCTGTGCACACTAAAACACTACCCTTGCAGTGGGACATCGCAACGCTTAACTGCTCATTTATTCCTAAGGGACCAGAGTAAAGCACGTTTACCTACCTGATTCCTGCTCCCTCAGCAGTCAGTGCTCACCTCTCCTCTCTCGGCTCTGGCTGGTGGAATATCCCTCGGTGTCCTCAAGTCTAATGCAGGTCTATGGAGCCTGCATTAGACCTGATGACATCAGAGGTCCTCAGACCACCTGAGCAAAGGGAAGACGAGGCCCCGGGGACTGGTCTCGCAGCCCAGAGGGAGCAGGCCAATGCGGGGATCGGGTAAGTAAAAGCTGTTTCCTGACCCCAAGGCATCAACGAGTACTGAACATTTGCATTGTGGTGGTAGCCTGTCAGGGTACCATGCACAGGTGTCCTCACACCACATGTAGGTACCCACGCAGGACGACCAAATTAATATGCCCACACTGGATAGGGTTATATGCACACGGTTTATTTGTTACAAAGCAAACAAAACTACAACCCCCCTCAACCCCCACAGGGTTAGCAGTGAAGTAACACAAAAAACACAGTTGGGACAAACACACCTACAGCCAGGGGGAACAGCAACAAGGAGGGGTAACAGGACTGCATATAGACAGCAGGCCTCAGGATACAGGAAGAGTGGTCAGGTACAAGCCAGGTCGTTAACAGGAGGGCAGCGCGGTACAGGAACAGGATTCAAGGAGAGTGGAGGGCTTAAATACCCTCCCAGGAAGCACCAGGTGATGGGATGACCAGTCACAGGTGGGGCACACCCGCAGGTGAGTACTGGAGCTGCAGGTTCCTGACAGTTCCTGGCTGCTGAAGACACCCGCAGGCAAGCACAGGAACTGCAGGACCTGGCTCCAGCGCCACCTGGGGGTGCTCTGGATCCTGACATAGCCCCACTGCAAGGGTAGTTTGTTTTTGCTTTGCTCTGAAATAGGTTTTAAACCTGGGACTGAACTCTAAGGCAAGGGCACTAAGAATAGAACTAGCAATCTACCCATTATATTTATTCATATGAGTGCAGCAGAAATCTCCAAACAGTCAAACAAAGAAAGCACAAGAACCAGAACTGTTACATTTTAGAACCAGTAATGCAGATGCCAGTTATACTACAGTCAGTTTTTCCTTATCTTCCCCTAATAAAGCTATCTTTAGGAGCCAATTCACCCATAAGTGATATATATTTAATAGTTGAGTTTAGATAGGGACTCAAGCAGTGATATCACTTTCCCATAGTTTCTAATTCTGTTTTTAAATCTTAAATCTTTATTTTTAAAAAATACATTTAAAAAAATCCAGAACTGGAAAGTTAAATACATAGATTCTAACATACATAGAAACATAAGACAGACAAAAGAAGCTGCTAAATGATTTAACTATCCAGCATCTAGCAAAAACTAAAGTATCTGTCTTAGGTAGATGTGTGTAGTGTGTTAACTGCTTTATTAACCTGACTTAGTCTGTCTTTTTAGAACTGTTAATTATTCATTAATTCATTCATTAAATATGAAGCTAGAAAACAGCTACTTTGTGCAGAAATTTGAAATGGGAGGCCAAAGGAGAATATACTTTTCTGTTGCTTTCCTTATAAATGCTCACTTTCTTCTGGATTATGCATGCATTTCAGTGGTGCAAACATCAGGAAAAAAATCAGCCAGAGTGGATTCAGGGAATGCAGAGTTTTATAGAAGGTTTCTTTCCTTAAAACTAAGGAGCAGGACTCAGTAACTGAACCTGATTACATCAATCTCCTAATATGCATCTGGTAGGCAGGAAGCTGCCTCTGCTTCTGGTGGCCAGCAAGTAGTGGATGTTATAATTTTTTCTAGGGATGCACCGATACCGGTATTTTGGTACCGAGTACGAGTACCGATAATTTTTTTTCGGTACTCGCCGATACCAATTACCGAGTAACGGAAGTCCCATTCAGGAAGCCAGGTGGCGTGTAATGACTCGCCACCTGGCTTCCTGATTACCCGGGAAGCCGGGCAGCGTGTAAAGAGTCGCCACCCGGCTTCCCGATTAACAAGAAAGTCCCCTCTTACCTTAGTATGTGCAGCCTGTCACCCCCGGGGCCTCTCCAGCGAGAACGCGGCCTTCGTCCGGTACCCAGCCAGAGCAGTCTGGCCGGCCAATCAGGAAGCCGGGCCCCGTGCCGGCTCCATGCTCTCTTATCATGAGATGACGAGGGAGCATGAAGCCAGCTTCCCGGCCATTCAGAAAGCAGGGCGTCGCGTCATTAGACGGCGTCCGGCTTCCTGATTGGACGGCTCCGGCTGGGTACCGGACGAAGGCTGCATTCTCGCTGGAGAGGCCCCGGGGGTGACAGGCTGCACATACTAAGGTAA